CACCCAAAAATAAGGCAAGACAAGGAATTACAGGTAAACTCTAGGTCTTTTAGGCTTAAATAGAAGAAAATATGGAGCACAGATTCTTCTCTCTTTTCCACAGTCCCTTAAATGAGAACATATCATTACAAACCTGATAAAACTCCTTTTCTTCTAATTCATAGAATAAGTTTATTAATTTTGCTTATCCAGACTGTCCTAATTTTTCAAAATACTTTCAGTGGAATCCCTTTTAGACCACCATGAGGGTACACAAAATGGAAAATCCATCTCTTGTTAAATCAATGCTTATAGAGATAACTTAAAGAAAAAATATCTTTTAGAGACTGTGCTATTTAAGAGAGAGAACAATCAAACATGGCAACTTAATGCAAATGGAACTCAACATTTTCATTGTCATAGTCTTCTCAGTTGTACTGGCTTCAAAAAGTTTGTGTGAATTTATCTAAAGCAATGGTTTTCAAACATATTTTTTCCTTTATACATAACAGTTTTATTGAGAAATAATTCACACATCATAAAATTCACCCTTTTAAAGTGTACAAGTATTTTTAGTATATTCACAGAGCTGTACAACCCTCACCACTAATTTTAGAACATTTTCATCACCTCCAAAAGAAACTCCACACCTATTAGCAACCATTTCCCATTTTCCACACCTCCCCCACCCCCACTCTAGGCAACCATCAATCTACTTTCTATCTCTGGATTTGCCTGTTCTGGACATGTTTTATAAATGGAATGATACAATATGCAAGCTTTTTGTGTCTGGCTTCTTTCACTTAGGGTAGTGTTTTCAAGGTTCATCCATGTTGTAGCATGAACCAGTATTTTATTCCTTTTAATAAAATCCACTATATGAATGCCCCATATATTGTTTATTCTTTCATCAGTTGTTGGACTTCTGAGTTGTTTCTAATTTTTAGATGTCATAAATAATGCTGCTATCAATACTCATATGCAAGTTCTAGTGCAGACATATGTTTTCATTTCCCTTGCATATATAATTAGGAGTACCATAAATAGTTGGGTCATATGGTAATTTTATTTTTAACAATTTACTGTTTTCCAAAGTTACTCTCACCATTTTACACTCTCATCAGCAGAGTATGAGGGTTTCGAATTCTCATTTCTCACATCCTTGCCAATACTTGTTATTTTCTTTTTATTTTAGCCATCTTTATGGTTGTGAAGTGGTATCTCATAGTAATATTGATTTACATTCCAAACACTTTTGATTTTCCATGCCTATTAGCATTTATCTCATTTTATGTGTGCCAGTATATTTATAAAGTCATATGTATATATGTGTATGTATATATGT